CATGCATTTATGTAAAGCGCCTAGAGCTGTGTTTACACGGGAGTGGGCACTATAGAAATGATCTTCATTATTATTATTATTAATTCACGATCATCATTGTCATCATCGTCATAGTTGTACAGCAGAAAATATACTCGAGAGTCGAATATAATTGTGTATATTTAATAAGACAATCATCATCATCATCATCATCATCATCATCATCATCATCATCATCATCATCATCATCATCATCATCATCATCATCATCATCATCATCATCATCATCATCATCACCGTTGTTGTTGCTGTACAGTAGAAAAATGTACTGGAGACTTGAATAATATAATAATTCAAGGCATGTTAAGCATAATAATTTATTATTGTTAATATATAATATTTATTTAAAACAATGTTCGACGTTTCGCCTAAGGGGGAAAAAAGCACAGTAGCAACAAGAAGATGGTTTTTGTTTAGAAGAAACAACGTCATCAACATTGCCAAAAAACGTAATGACAAAGGTACAAGGATATGTTTGACATAACGGGAAAGATATATAATATACAAAGATAGTTTTTCTTGTTTCACCACGCAGGCTTTACCAAGAACACAATTAGACAAACAACGTCAGACGACGCCTTTTTCACTGTTGCACACAGAAGACACAAGTTCGATTCCCGAATTGGGAGAATATATTTTTTTCGAGTATCTTTGTCTGCCCATTAGGATGTTGTATCCCTCTCAGTCCTGGTTAACCAGGAGAGGCAGGGAAAGCCCGCCCTCTAAATGACCTAAATAAAGTGGATGGGGGAGTAAAAATACCAACAGTTAAAAGAACCGTGTCAGATCTGGAGATAAAACCATCATCTCTTCCAACAAAATTAAGAAGCAGTAAAATGATACAGTGACTTGGGTATACACGTTTAAGTAGGAAGTACAGTCGAACCGGCTCTAACGACCACCTGCCCAAGACAACCTCATGTACAAATGACCACCCCCAACTCCCCCCCCCCCCCTGAGTTTCCTCTACAATCGAACCTGCTGTAACGGTCAACTGTCCACGACAATCGCCTGTACGAACGACCTCTTTCTACTCCACCCCTCGCATTTTCTCTTTATATTTAAAACGGCACTGCTCAGGAGGACCAACTGTTCAAAACGATCACCTTTTCCTCTCGACTATAATATATAAGTTTAATGTTTCCCGCGCGCTCATACCGCCTCATGTAGTTGCGAGCGCCGTAAAACACTTACCCCCCAAAAATATTATATATACATATATACATACATAATATATATGTTATATTATAAGCCTATGTATGTATGCATGGATGGATGGATGTGTGTAGTGGCGGCCCGTGGTTTAAAGAACTGACCGGCGGTCATTCACGTCGACTATTCCCCCCCCTCACCCCCTTCCTTCACAACACACACACACACACACACACACACACACACACACACACACACACACACACACACACACACACACACACACACGCACGCACGCGCACACACACACACACACACACACACACACACGCATGCACGCACGCACACACACACACACACACACACACACACAAGCACGTGCTGAACAGCGTCAAGCACAAACGTCAGGTCACATCGGCCGTCGGCGCAGGTTGTCCTTGACTTTGAGAAAATGCAGTGTAGATATTGCGGCTAAGCTAGTGGTATACAACAGCATTTCTTAACCCTGTCCATCGGTTCAAATGCAACATACAATATAAGCCCCAAAAAGCTGAGTTTGTTTAACTGCAGTTTCCGAATCCGTGGCACTGATTGCATGTGCTCAAAAAAAATTGTTAAAGTTCAAATTCTAAATATATGTATTTAACCCTATCCGAATGTCGTGATTTACTATCGTATCCATACGACGTGGAGAACTCTGTGCCACCACTTTCAAATGAGGAAATTTACCCGTTAATCCTATCCGTACGCTTTGCATAGCAGTCTGTCAGAATGATTTTTTAAAAAGAAATACTGAAAGTTTCAAAGAGATCTTCGTACTAGAAGTATTCTAAAATGTGAAGAATGCAACCCCAGGGGTGAAAAATGACCCCAGGGAGTACGGATAGGGTTAAGCAGGCAGAATCGATGCACGAGAACGAGCGTAGATACATAAGCTAGCAGGGCACCTACACCTTGTGATGTATGGCGTGACACAGAAAAGAAGGA